CCATCCCCCCTCCTCTGCCCCCAACAGTAAATCGAATATGAACACCATATCCCAAAAATAAAATTCTCTCTCGCTCTCTCGGTCACACACACACACACACACACACAAACACTCACTTATAGGCTCGCCCAAAGTAAATCAAATATGTATTTAACAAAACAGACTTCAGGTAATTGATCTTTACCGCATGCCCTATCCAGAGCAGGGTCTGCCTAATTTCCCACAATACCCTGGCCCAAAATTCTGTTGTGATACACAAATTCAGTGAAAATGTGGGTCTGCATAATCCAACATGCCACAGGAATGATGTCAAACAGAAATCAAATAAGGTAAATGCACAGACATGGAAAGATGAAATGTGTATAAACAATAAGAAAAAATCAATGTGCGGTGTGTGGGAGTGTGTTCTTTGTACACAAAGGTATAAACAGGCACAAAGTGAGAAGATGTCACTATCTCCATCGGGGGTGGCATGCAGAGAGAAAGAGTGAGCATGTTTCACAAACACACACAGACCTGGGCTCTTCAGCAGGGACCATCAGTGAAAAACACAAGCATTCGGACACATCTATCTACGTGCACAGACAGCAATTCTCATCTCCTCTGGTGGGGGGCAGGAATTACCTGCAAACACGCATTGCTGGCGCATTGACAAGCATCCGGTAACCACTGGGGGAAATCCACTGGCTTGTGCTGTGCAGGAGGTCAGATTAGCGGGTTCAAATTGTCCCTTCTGGGCTAAATATAATATGAAGCTATTAACTCGAAAGTGACATTAACTATAAGCTGCTACTTTCCCTTCCAGGTTACTCTTAGGACTCCCTGAGTGCAAAGTTCTTCATTGCAGAAAACCCAAAACCTGCCTCGTCCCTTTGTGTCTCCATTTCCTCCTCCCTGTTGTGTGTATCCGCTACCGAATGCCCAGTGTCTCTCCACACCTGCACCGCTTTCCCCGTCGGATATATCTTCAGTGTGAGTGATTAATTAATCAGTATTACAAGAGGAATCACCTTCCCCTTTGCTCATCCCTCCTGACAGCTCATTTCTATTGACTGCTTCTGTGCACTGGTTATGTTTCTCGGCGATGCCCAACGCATTTCTCAGCAGCCGCTGTTGGAGGTTGGGATTCACAGGTCCAGTTAAGCCCTGTCCTAAGGCACATTACACTCAGGGGAAACCGCATCATAAGGTTCAGTGATGTCCCCAGCCCAGACCTGACGGAGACGTGTTAATGTCCACTCCACCAGCCAATACTCCCAACCTACACAGCTCCCTGTCGCCTTATACCCTCTGGGTGAGACCCGCATGCAAATCCCTCCCCAGGGGGTTCCTGTTAAATACCAACCCCTGTTTCTAGGAGCCTCAGTCTCTCCCCAGACACAGAACTGCCCGGTCCTGCCTGCTGGAAAGTTTCCCTCATTCCATGAAAATGAAATCTCTGTTGCTTTTCCTGTCCCTCTTCTCAACCCCCACCTGTGAGTGTCCATGGGTCAGTGGGGGGAACTGGTGACAGACCTGAGGAGTCTCTCTGTGGCTAATGTCTTTCTTGCTTTCTTTCCCTTTTTCCAGGTGTCCTCTGTCAGGTGAAGCTGGTCCAGTCCGGCCCGGGGGCAGCAAAGCCCGGAGAGACCCTCACCCTGAGCTGCGCTGTCTCCGGGGTCTCCATCACTACTCAGCATTACTATTGGAGCTGGATCCGGCAGTTCCCCGGGAAAGGGCTGGAGTGGATGGGGTATGTGTACCCGTATAGTAGTGGGAGCACAAGCTATGCCCCGTCTCTCCAAGGCCGAATCACCATCTCTGCAGACACCGCCAAGAGCCAGTTCTCCCTGCAGCTCCGCTCGCTGACAGCTGCAGACACCGCCACGTATTACTGCGCCAGAGACACAGTGACACAGAGCAGAGCAGGGACTGGCACAAAAAGGGGAAGCAGTTTCTAAATAGCCCAGGGAGGCCGGAGTTACAGGGACAGTGGAGTGCTGCAGAGAAAGAGACACACACAGTGAACTCACTATGAAAAACATACATCCAAATAGTTGGGATTTCTTTTTAACTCTGCAGAATTTAGCCAGTTTCTCTGGACACGCCTCGCCTTTGAGCTGCCACAGAAATCATGGGAAACTCACTGATAAAACACAGGTGTTCCATAGAATATCAGGGTTGGAAGGGACCTCAGGAGTCATCTAGTCCAACCCCCTGCTCAAAGCAGGACCAACCCCAACTAAATCATCCCAGCCAGGGCTTTGTCAAGCCTGACCTTCCTTTCCAATGGCTATCGGAGCGGGCCTGGAAAGATTCATGGAATTAAGAGCTACAAAATAATCGTACCGTGTGTCTGTTCCCCATTTCTGTGTCGAAATGTGTGCTAGGTGTGCACCGGGAAGGTCACGGTCTTTGCCTTCAGAAGAGAGTGAGGGGCACACAGAGAGAGAAGGTGAGCGAGCAAGCCAGTCTCATTTTCTCCTGAAGGAGGCAGTAGTCCTAGACACACGCGCGCGGCTGCTCTGTGTGAAAAGCGCCTAAGAAGAAGGTGCCGCTTTCATCCCCAGCGTGGGCTGCAGCCGCTGCCCTGTGTCCCGCCAGCACCGCCCTTGCTGTGACACAGCCCGGAAGCTCATTCTGCTCCCCACACCCAATTCCCTCCCCTTCCATACAGCTGTTTGTCAGTCTCTGAGGGGAAACCAGCCTTTCTCCCCGTGACATTGTGCAGTCTATATGGTTTTATAAAAATATAAGTGAATATAATGTAACTGGAATATGCTTCATGCAAAAGGTCTCTTGTAAGGTATCATTACAAAGCTCATAATCTACTGAGTGTGATTATCCTATTTGTAGAAATGTACCACTCTTGTATCTAAAACTAGAAATATAAAACATAACTCTGAGGGCCTATTGTAATTATGTCAAGTGTGGGCCATTGAGGATGGTTTGGAATCTTGATGACTCCCATTGTCTGCAGATGGCTGTGTTTACCTGTGAGTCTTCCTGTATAGGTGTGTGCTGGCAAGTGAGTAATGAAGTCTTGCAGTGACATGTGATCATGTCACCTGAACTGGAATCCATCTTTAACCTGGTGCTTTTCCAGTGGGGGGGGTGGGGGTGGAAACCCAGAGGGACAAAGGGTTCCCGCCTTATGCAAAAGATGTATAAAGGGGGGAAGAGAACAAGGGAGAGAGGAGCCATCATGAAGAATCCCCTAGCTATCACCTCAGCTGCAACAAGAGCTGTACCAAGGGAAAGAATTGTGCCCAGGCCTGGAAGATGTCCAGTCTGAGAAAAACTTACTGAAGCATCTCTGAGGGTGAGAATATCTGTATTCAGTTTGATTAGACATAGATTTGCGCATTTTATTTTATTTTGCTTAGTGACTTACTTTGTTCTGTCTGTTACTACTTGGAACCACTTAAATCCTATTTTCTGTATTTAATAAAATCACTTTTTATTTAGTAATTTACTCAGAGTATGTATTAATACCTTAGGGAGCAAACAACTGTGCATATCTCTCTCTCAGTGTTATAGAGGGCGAACAATTTATGAGTTTGCCCTGCATAAGCTTTATGCAGGGTAAAACGGATTTATCTGGGTTTAGACCCCATTGGGAGTTGGGCATCTGAGTGCTAAGGACAAGCACACTACTGTGAGCTGTTTTCAGGTAAACTTGCAGCTTTGGGACAAGTGATTCAGACCCTGGGTCTGTGTTGGAGCAGACGGGAGTGTCTGGCTCAGCAAGACAGGGTGCTGGAGTCCTGAGCTGGCAGGGAAAACAGAAGCAGGGTAGTCTTTGCACATCGGGTGGCAGCTCCCAAGGGGGTTTCTGTGATCTAACCCGTCACACTCCTCTGCAGCTGTGGTTCCTTCCTCATCTGACCCTCCCGGGAGAGCCTCCCGCCTCCGGACATCTCCTGGGCATGGTCTGTACCTATGGCAGACGCCTGGCGCATTTTGGAGCAGCCCGTGCTCCAAGGGAGAGACACGAATTGATTTCAAGGGGCTTCCACCCTTCGACATGGGGGTGGGGTGAGGAGGGAATGTCTGACTCTCCGATCCACCCGACAGTGCTCCCTGCATAGCGGTCCCTCCCCCTGGGAGTTTATCCCTGTTAGATAAACCCGCATGCAAATCCCTGGTCAAGCAAAGTCACCTGAGTCACAGTCCAGGGCCCGGTCCTCTGCCCCCTCCTTCCTACCCTCACAGCCACCCACCTCCTACCATTGCATGTGCGCTGAGCTGAGCGCATGGTCTCCCTGGGGTGTAAAGGTGACACCTGTCCCCGAGGGGACATTGCCATGTACTGAGCGCTCACCCCCGTCATCTCTTATACCCGCCCTGGGGAACCAGAATGAAAAACCCCACCCTGGGAGTTCCTGTTTAAATACAAACCCCTGGTTCTAGGAGCCAGATACAGAACCGCCAGGTCCTGCCCCCTGGGCCATTTCCCTCATTCTATGAAAACAAGACTGAAATCTCTGTTGCTTTTCCTTTCCCTGTCTCCGCCCCCAGCTGTGAGTGTCTCTGGGGCAGTGGGGGAACTAGGGACACATGCAGACATTCAGTAGCTAATTCCCTACTTGCTTCATTTAGCTTTGCATACGTGTTCTATCTCAGGTGCGGCTGGTCCAGTCTGGCCCGGGGGTGGTGAAGCCCGGAGAGACCCTCACCCTGACCTGCGCTGTCTCCGGGTTCTCCATCACTACTCAGTATTACTATTGGAACTGGGTCCGGCAGCCTCCTGGCAAAGGCCTGGAGTGGCTGGCATGGGTTAATCCCAGCAGCGGGGGTACAGGCTACGCCCGTCTCTCCAGAGCCGCCTGACCTTCTCCACGGACATGGCTAAAAACGTGCTCGCCCTGCAGCTGCGCTCGCTGACAGCTATGGACACCGCCACCTATTACTGCACCAGACACACAGTGACATGGAGCAGAGCAGGACTGGTACACATTGGGTAGAACAGGACAAACATCCCCAGAGATATTACCAAAACTGCCCCCAGAAGCTCCCAGTCTCTCCACGCCCAGTTGACCTGTCAGCTGCCCCAGGAATCGTGTCCCGCTACTGCCAGAACACAGTGAGTGGTTTGTATTTCAGTGGCTCTAGGAACAGGCAGGCACCGATTCACGGATGTACAGGGTTAGGCACAGACAGGGACCGGTGGAGGTGTGGATCCATTTGTCTGTGAGTGTCTCTGCATGTTTGTGTGCACCAAGGACTTTTTTCCAGCACCCCCCCTTGCCCACACACACACACACACACACACACGGCTGTAGTAGGGAAGGGGAGGGTAAGTTGGGT